CTGGCTGACTGGCCATTGGGGACCCAGCAGGGACTCCGAGGCCTGAGGGGTGGCAGAGCCACTAGGGAGCAGAACCCTGGTTCTGAGTTTCCTGGGGCTTTGGAAATGGACCGACCAGGAGCACCAGTACCAGGGTGAGCCAGGCGCCAACTTCCACGACGTGGAGGAACTGGTGCTGCCACGTGGCCTGGCCCCTCCTGTCCAGGGCACGGCACTGGAAAGGGCTTCGGTGTGGAGAGGACATGGTGGTAAAGAGGTTGTGGGGAAACCATCTAAGGACCCAGGTTCATTGACTCACGGTGCCTACTCTCCCTGAAGAAGAGACATGATGGCCACGTCCATCCCCCTGTGAGGGCAGCATCCTCCCGCCCCGCCCACTGCACCAGCCCCCCAGCCTCCGGTGGGCTCCTGGTTTGGGACAATTTGAGAAGCAGAGCCGAGTAATACCTGGCGTGTAGAGTGATTTTTTAAAAAAATCCCAGCTCTATGCTAGCATGACAGCGTTTTCTCAAATGAGTTCTTTCAAACTCTTAAGGCCTGAGAATCCCCTTGTTGACACGTGTGTGTGCGTGTGCTGTACACCAGTACGTACGCTGTGTGGCTCGTGTGTGAGCATGTGTGTGTGCACATGATGGGCATGTTTGTGCAAGATGCACTTATGTGTCCTGTGGGTGGGTGTGTAGGGCATGTGTGCATGTGGGATGTGTGCACGTAGTGCAGGTGTGAACACAGTGTGCATGTGTATGACGCATGTGTATGACGCATGTGTATGACGCACGTGAGCCAGTGCAAGGTGTATGCGTGGAACACATGCCACTGTGAGCTACATACACATGTGTACTTGTGTGTGGTGTGAGTGTGTGTAATGTGCCCTTGTGTGGGTTTGATGTAAGTGTGTTTGTGTGGTGTGTGCATTCATCTGTACATGCCTTGGGTGGTATCTGTGTTATCACACATGCACACCAACCACACCTGTGCATCAACACACACGTACATACAGACATGTACCTTGCACCCCCTGAACACACCGTGCACAGCCATGAACACCATGCACATGGAGAGGTACCCACCACACACGTATGCACACATGCTACTCACAAACACAGGCATGCCACATGTATGCACCCCATCCCACACTCGTGGGCACTGTACAAACCCCCGCCACTCTCATGCTGTCCGCACATGCGCCATTTCACTCCACCTGTGCTGGGCGAGGGGGGGGCAGGCTGGGTGTGGGAGAGGGATGTCAAGGTGGTGTTTGGATAAACATCATGCATGAGCCTCACCTTCAACCTGGAGACAACCAGTCCTGCTGCAGATTACAGAGGTCCTCACGCAGCCACTGTGGGGGTTCTTTCTCTTTCAGATTCTTCCAGGAGAATCCTCCAACATTCTTCAGGAGCTGCAGTCAGAGTGCCAAATGCTCTGGGGGTCCTGGGAATGGGGAAGCCTGGCGTGCTGGAGTCAAGTGTCAACCCCAACCCTGACCCCAACACTGACCCCAACACTGACCCCAACCACGACGGTAACATTAACCCAACTCTAACCACCGATGGGGCACAGCCCAGGTGTCACCTGCCCCAGGAAGCCTTTGAGACCCCGGCTAGATCGGGTGCCCCTCTTCTGCATCTCTTGGCTCCCTTTTGGCAAGGTCTCGTGGTATTTTTAAGTTTATATGTTTATGGTTTAGAAAATAAAGTTATAGTTTATAATTAATTAAATATTACTGTTTTCTTTCCCAACCTCCTCAATGACCTTCAGCTCCCAGGGGCAGACTCTGCCTGACTCCGCCTGGCCTCCCCAGGGCTCAGCCAGGGCCTGGAGGACAGTAACCCTTCGGTTTCGTGTTCTTGCTGAATGAACAAGTTGAATTTTTGCATCTTGGGCTCTGTCTGCAAATCCACTGAACATCTACCTGTGCCTTTTTACCCCAGGTGTGCTCCCTGCTAGGACTTCGGCATGTCTGTGGGGGAGGAGAGGGTGGAGGAGTTGGAGAAGGACCTAGGGGGGAAGGGTGGTGCTGGTTCCTGGACCAGCTCTGTGGACAGTGGAGGGGGCTGCAGGCAGCAGTTGAAGGTTTTCACGATGTCAGGCCACTGCTCAAGGTCCAGGCCATAGACTGGGCCTGGTGGATGGAGGGAACTGCAGCTGCAGGACTCCCGAGCCCATGGCAAGGCTGTGGGGTGCAGGCTTGGCAGATTCAGGCACAGAGACAGGATGGGTGCATCCAGGGCAAAGACACTAGGGCTGCCTCTCTGGCTCCATGGCGGAGGCCGTCACTGCCGGATGCAATAGAAAGATGTGGATACCGACTGCCCTTGGGTGAGGCTGGGGTTGGTGTTCAGCGGCTGAAAGTCTTTCATTTGCAGTTGGGCCACAGCCCGTGAAATCAATGGGATGTCACTGAGGTGGCTGTCAGCTGAGGTGCGTTTCCCTAGAGACGGGCAGAACCTGAGGGGGGATTCTGGCCAAGTGGTTCATTGAGTGGGGGCTTCCTGAGGGGTGTGGAGTGGTCAGGGCAGGCAGGAGTGAGCGAGGCCTATGGGCTGGAGATTTGCCCACGCCTGATCTCCCGGGGAGATCTGGAACGCAGATGGGGCTTTTCCATGTTGGTCACCAGCAGTGGGCAGCTCTGGGGGATGGGACCTAACCTCCCAAACAGGGGAATGACAGGGCAGGGTGGCAGCTGTGTCTGAGAGCAGACCAGCCACCACTGCCACGGTGGGGAATGGGATCTGGCCACTACAGGAGACCTGGGTGGGGCATGACCATGTCTGGAGACCAAACATATGTCCCCCCCAATTCATGTGTTGGCATCCCAAATCCCAAGTGATTTGGAAGATGCTCAGATCTTGAAGGTGGAGCCTTGATTATAGGGTTTCAGATCCTTTAAAGAGACCCTCTGCTATGGGAGGACACGGCAAGAAGGTAGAGATCCTAGAGATCCATGAACCAGGAAGGAGGCTCCCTCTGGACTCAGGAATGGCCAGCACCTTGATCTTGGATCTCTCTTTTTTTTTTTTTTTAAGAGAGAGAGAGAGAATTTTAATATTTACTTTTCAGTTCTCCGTGGACACAACATCTTTGTTGGTATGCGGTGCTGAGGATCGAACCCGGGACGCACGCATGCCAGGCGAGCGCGCTACCACTTGAGCCACATCCCCAGCCCTTGATCTTGGATCTCCCAGCTCCACAGCTGTGAGAAAGACTCCCATTGTTTATAAGCTGCCCAGCCTCTGGTGTTCTGTTATGGTCACCCAATGGAAGAGGACAGTTGGTGTCCACTCCATGGCCTGTCACTCAGCCTTTTGCACCTGACCCACTGACTCTGTTCCCCTTCTCTGGGGCCACACATCACACCCACGCCAGAGCCCCCTGATATAATCGGGCAGCTGCTGAGACTCTGTGTGGGGGTTTCAGAGCAGCCTGGACAGTCAAGAGGCAGCTTGGGCAGTGGTTGCTTCCAGGTGACCCTGAGCAGCTGGCGCAGTGGGTGATGGCATGGCAAGAGGGGCTCTCCCAGGAAGAAACCAATGACCTGTCATTCCTTATTTCGGGCTGTCTGCGTGGATCTCCACAACGCTGTTCTCTCCGTTGTGAAAGCGAGAGCGGAATATTAAACCACCCAAGCCGTCGCTGTGTTTCCGACAAGCTCCATGCCGGGGAGGAAATTGGAACCACATGAAATATTTACGCTCCATGTTGCGGAGCTGCTGCTGATGCGACAGGCAGCGTGTTGTTGTGGTTTGTTTGGGGTTTGCTTTTTACCTTTTCCAGAGTGGATTACCATACGCCTTCCAGTGAGGACACTGCGCACGGTGAGACTGTCCCTCCAGGGCATCATCTGGAAGGAGGAGGCCACCGTGATGGACAGGAAGAGGCTCTAAGAGCCCAATGTCTAGGTTGTGGACCTGAGCCAGAGCAGGGAGCACCAGCTCCCACCTTGAGAGCCGTGTCACAGGGGGTGACAGCCTCAGCCTCCCAATCTGCACCCCCCCAACCAGGCACAGGCTCTTCCCAGGTAGACTTAACCTGGTCACATCACTATTCCTTTTGGTTTTAAGGACTGCCGCCTCCCAATGTCTGCTGGGAAACCTGGTTTAAGGGGTCCTTGGCCTTGGTGCTGCCTGCAGACACCACTCACCTCCATCACCTGCTCATGAGTGCCCTCCCCAGAGTGGACTGCACACCAGAGCCCCACGCCGTGGGTCCACTAATCTTCTCCCTAGGCATTATGTCGGCTTGCACCCCACACAATCAGTTCTATTTGAAGACTTTTTCTTTTCTTTTCCTTTCTTTGGTGGAAAAGAATCAAACCTAGGGCTTTATAGACGCGAGGAAAACGCTCAACCCTGAGCTACAACTCCAGCCCCATACTGAATTCTTATTTTAAAAAAATCTGATTATACGAGTGTTTCCTAAGAATGTACTTACATGTGGGTTACTCTTTGGGGGCAGCAGGAATTTGATGGACACTTTTCAATTTCTGGAGGGGCAAGTTTTACATGGTAAGGCCTGTTTAGCTTCCCATGTAGCCACATTTTGGGTGTGGTATCCCCCACATAGCCAACACATGTTTATCGAGCATTTATTATGTGTCATGAACTGGGCTGAGTTTTGTGTCTTCCTCCTATCATCCACATACAGAGCTTGCTTTTCTCTTTCTTTTCTTTTTTTTTTTCTTTCTTGGTTACTAGGGATTGGATCCAGGGTGTTTTACCACGGAGCCACATCCCAGCCCTTTTTAATTTTGTGACAGGGTCTCACCAAGCTGCTAAGGCTGGCCTGGAACTTGCGATCCTCCTGCCTCAGTCTCCTGAGTCGCTGGGATTGCAGACGTGTGTCCTCACGCCCGGCCCAATGAGCTGCTAAGGAGCAGATAGAACTTTTACCAGAGTCTCTCCTCATAGGGCTCATTCCTGGCCAAGCCACCACCGAATGCCACCTCACAGGAGGCCCAGCCTGGCTTAACAAAGTGCAAGAAGACACAGACTTATCTGCAACTTTTCAGAAGTTTTATTATAAAGAGAGTTTGAGAGAAGGACCGGGCACCAAGACAGACATTTGCCGGGCCAGGATACAGCTGCAAACGACGCCAAGAACCAAAACCAAAACCAAACCCCAAACCACGCACACGTTAGGATAAACTGCAACTTTGTTCTCAAGTTTTCTTCATAAATAGCTAGACAAAAAGAAATAAAATTGTTGCTGGCAATTTTAAATAGGTGGACATATGGTTTACAAAAAAATAAAGGGGAATGCTTCCCGGTGGGGCTAGACATTGTCCGGTTCTCAGGTGCGCATGGAGAGACCCTGTGACAGCTGCTGTGTGCACGTCTCCCTCAAGAGAAAACTGAAAAACGATGCGCTAAGGGTCATATAAAACGCTTTGTACCTTAAAGGAAACTACTTCTCTTCCCCCACAAAATAATCTTACAGATGTCTTCAGCACAGTTCTAAAACACTTAGTTGACTACTTACACGGAGCCCACAATTCGTGGGGCTCGGGATCTTTAGTTCACACTGGAAAACCTGCGCGTCTGTGGCTGGGCCGGCCCCTGGCCGCGCATCTTGGGGCGAGTTTCTGTTGGTCAGTGACCCCGGCAGGGCGGCCCAGTGAGCTTGGGCTGGGGTCAGACGTCCAGACAGAGGGGACTGTGTGCAGGGCGAGGAGCGGGGTCCGCGGTGACCCTGGAGCAAGCAGGTCAGCGGGCAGAAGGTTCCTGCAGGTTCTTCCGGCGGGCGCCGGGCAGCGGGCTGCCTCTGCAGAGTCTGGCGGGAGGTCGAGGAAGAGACTCAGCCCAGGGCAGGGGTGTGTCACTGCTATGCTGGCCGGTCACCCTGCCTCCTGCCACGGCCTCTCTGCTGTGGGCAGCCCTCCTGGCTCTGACATGCCCTTCCAGCCAGCCTCGGGGAGGGGAGGGAGGCGGGATTAGGTGAGGTAGAGCGATTTGTCTCTGGGGAGCAGGCTGTGGAGAGAGAGGGGCCGTCAGAGCTGCTGGATGGCCCCCTGGCGCTGTGACACGGGCCAGGGGACCCCAGGGCCCTGGGCTCTGGCCCTTCGCCCTGACCAGCTGCCCCTCTGAGGTCAAATCAGGGATGGCCAGGGTCCTCCTGGCGGTCCACCCAGCTGAACCAAAGGGCCCTCCTGGATCCTCCCCGGGGGGTGCCATCCTCAGCTCCAGGAAGAGGGCAGCGTGCGTCTGCCCTTCAAGGAAGCCCAGCCCAACGTCCCCCGGGCTCTCATGGCAGTCTGTGACCACCATGTTTCATTTGTATGCTTCCAAACAGAAGTACAGGCGGCAGGTGGTTTTTATGGATTTAGAACAGGGACCAACATCCGTGCTGGGCACAGGGTGGGCCCGGGGGAGGCTCGGACAGGGTCACATCCCTGAAGGACCTCCTGCCCCTGGCACCCTGACACTGGGGAAGGGAACTGCGGTGAGGGGAAGGGGCTGAGGAGAGGGGGTCTAGGGGAAGGGCGTCCCTGTGCAGCGGGTCTGCCACCCATGCAGAAGCCGTCCTGGCGAGTGTGGGGTCACTAGTGCCCGGCAGTATCCTGTGTGGCAAGAGCGATGCAGGGCTGGGGGGGTTGCTGCCTGGTGGCAGAGCCGGCCACCCCTCCACTAAGCACTGGTGACCCACCTTTCACAGCGTGGGGCTCTGCAGGGCATCTGCCTGGGCCCAGTCCCCCCAAGACCTGCGGATTCGCTTTTGCTAAGGGCACGGGGACCGGCTGGCAGGGTGGGGGCTGGAGCTCCCCGTCCTGTCCCGGCTTTCCCTCTTGCTGGCTGAAACCAAGTTCCTCTACCTTAGAGTTGGTGTGGCCTGGCTCCAAGGGGGCTTTCTGGAGGAGGGGCAGTTAGCGAGGTGGACCAGAGAGAGCCGCGTGGTTCTGGGGAGAGGATGCTGCTGCAGGGCTGGGGGGTTTCTAAGGTGGGGGCTTCATGGATTGGACAGTTGGCCCTTTCTCCCAGGGGACCACATCCAGCTCCTGCACACCCCGACGTCCCCTTCTCTAGGGAATGGCCCATGGCAAATAAGACCTGCCTTCCACAGGGGGCCCCCCTGGGGCCTGTGGGCAGCCCGAAGCTGAGGGCTGACTGACAGGGGCTCTTGGTGGGACCTGCATTGTGCCACCAATCCTGCTTCAGGGTCCCCTGGGATCAGGCAGTATGGAGTGTCCAGCTGAGGGCGTGTCCTTACCGACCGCTTCCCCTGCCCCGACTTGCCTTTCTCACCCACTTCTCCCATAAGCCCTCCAGGCGTCTCCAAGGACCACCTTAGGCTCTGCTTCTGGGGAGCCTGGCCTAAGGCACGGGGCCTACCTGGGAATGTCATATGGAAGAATTTTTGGAAAAAACAGGACAGAAGGCATAAAGGTGGCCTCGGTGTGCCCAGTGGGCCGGGGCGCCAGGCTGGCTGAGTGTGCTGGGCCCCTGCTTTGCTCTGCACTACCTGCAGGCTCCAAGTGTCCCCTGGGCAGGGCTGATGACTCAGCTCCACGTTTTCCTGAGCCACTCCTCTGCCCCTGGCTGTCCCTATTCCCATTTTCCCTGGGTGGGTGGACAAAGGCAGGACCCATGGAGGCTGACCGGGGACTGACCTGCAGGTGCCAACGCCACACTCCCCGCTGGGGTAGCTGCTGTCCCAGTCCCCGCTGCTCGTGGAGCTGGATGGCCCAGGTGAGCGGGGTCCCGAGCCGCTGGGGAACTCAGAGATGTGCGGGAAGTCCTACGGGGGGAAGGAGGGATGGTGAGTGGAGAGAGGCCCAGGGGAGGCCTGACTCAGGAGGCCGGGGTGGTGCAGTCACCCTGTGTCTGAGGGCGTCCCCTCTGCAGAGGCACCTCCTGGGGGTCACAGGAGGTCCACTCTGCTCCCGTGGAGCACCTTTGGAAAAGTACCTCTGTCTTAGCTGAACCAGGGGGTGACTTTCCTATCCTGAGCCTCAGCTTCCCGATCTGTCAATGCAGGGACCGGGCGGAGTGTGAGCCTTGGAACAGTCTCTGGGGCACTCAGTGGGGCTCACGCCTCGAGGGCTTGCAGTGGAGCCAGGGGCTGGGCTGATCTGGCAGGAAGCTCAAGTGGACGGAGGGTGAGAGGGGCCCTGGGAGAGCCGAGGGATCTAACTGGCAATGTTCACTGCATCCCCTGCCTTGCGGGCACGGCACAGGAGACCCATTTCAGATATGGGAAAACCGAGGCCAGTACTGGAATTCTGCAACCACCTCCCCTCTTCTGAAGGGTCACAGAAGACGGGGCCATACTCAGCCCTGCTTACCTGTGGCCCTGGAGGCGAGGGGCTCATGGCCAGCTGCACCTGGAGCGCCATGGGTGTGGGCAGGACGGGAGGCTGGGGGGCCGGGGACATGCTGACAGGTGGGCTGAGGAGGGCACCCTGTGCATGGGGTGGCAGGGGCAGCTGCTGGTGCAGGGGGGGGCTGAGCGGGAAGGAAGGCGGTGGCGGTGAGGACGCGCTGAGCCCGGGCAGCAGGGACTTGGAGCCCAGTGTCCGGGCGAGGCTGGCGGGAGAGGCCCCGCTCCGGAAGGCCTGCAGGTCAGAGGGCGTGAGGAAGGAGGCCAGGCCCGGCATGGAGTACATGGGCTGCTTGGGGGGCAGCAGCTTGGCGGGGGGGTTTGCCTGAGTGCTCTTGGTCTCGCCTTGGTCCGGGGGGCTCTGGAAGGAGAAGAAAACCAGTTACTTTGGAGAAGAGGTGATGACAAGCCAGGACTTGGGCTGTGAGACCAGGGTGTCCTGGTTGGCCTTTGGGGAGAGCCGTGAGCTGTGGACTAGCCAGCCACAGCTCTGACCAGGCCACCTGCCACCTCCCCGACTTTTGCTTGGATGCTGGGGATTGAGCCAGGTGGAGTTCAACAAGTACATCTCCAGCCCTTTTTAGTTTTTATTTAGAGACAAGTCTCACTAAGTTGTTTTTTAGGGCCTTGCTAAGTTGCTGAGGCTGGCCTTGAACTTGGCAATCCTCTTGCCTCAGCCTCCGGAGCCCCTGGGATTACACGCATGCACCATCAGCTCCTGCCCACACGTTTATCCCTGCATGGCCCCCCGCCCCTGGGGGAGTTCCATGGTCCTGGGTCTTGCAGCAAAGACAGGGTTGTGGCAAGCATCCTCTGGCTATGCCCCTCCCCAGCCTCTACGCCCCTGCATGGGCCCCTCCCTCTGCTGGGCTCTGGCTGGAAGAACTCAGCAGAACACAATGCACATGAGGCGTGGGCCGGGTGCACTGTGGTGCACTACAGGTGTGACCTAGAGGTCTCACCCAGCCTTTCCAAGCCCCTGGAGCCAGCCGTTCCCATGGGCCCCAGTTCTGGGTCATCCCTCTTGTCAGTTACCTAGGCATCCTGTTACCTTGGAGACAAGGCTAGCCCTGTAGGCTGCCAGAGCTTTCAGATACTCCTTCTTGGCTGCTTCAGTCTTCCTCTTGTAGGCCTGGAAAATCCAAGACATGGGCAACAACCGGGAGAATGTCACAGAGAGGTCACCATGCAGAGCCCAGGTTGAGAAGGCATGGATTCTAGGGCCATGTGTGGATGAGGGCAATGTGATCAGAAGATGGGTCAGTCACTCCCTGGCCCCTCTCTGGGCTGCACAGAGAGTGTGGAGGACAGGGAAACATGCTTCACCTCTCTGGACAGTGGTACCATTGGCTTCAGAAAGACGAAGCTTCTGGAAGCCCTCTCTTCTGACCCAGCCTGATGCCCATTTCTTAATGCTGCATGCTGGCATGAACCCTGCTTGTTCAGTGTCTTAGTCTGGATTTATCTTTGCTCATGTTGTTATTAGGAATTTTGGACCTAGGTTCACATGTAGTGTTGAGGCTTGGCCAGTGGTAATGCTCAGCTGATAGAGCACTGGCCTAGCATGTGCAAGGACCTGGAGTCAATCCCCATCACTGAAACAAATAAACAAATAAATACAAATAAACGGGACAGTGTGGGAGGTCAGACTCTCAACAACCTTGGCTTGCCCCTGGGCTGCACTGGATGGGTCGGAGTAGTGGGCGGAGCCTTCAGAGACAGGGGACCTGAGATCCCTACCCCCCTAAGACTGCTCAAAAGGGAGAGGGCCCACTCCCCCACACAAAGCGGCGCCATAGGAAGGGAGACGCAGGCCAGAGCGTGCCAAATGGAAACGGTGGTCCCTATGGCAGAAGTGGGCAGGGCCTGCCATGCCTCTGGTCCTCGGCACTGCAGAAAAGCCCAGGTGACGCCCAGCGCCACCAAGCATCCCCTGGCCCCAGGGCTCTCGAGCAGCAGGAGCCTCATGGGCCACTTGTGAGGAGGTGGTGGCTAGACAGCTGGAGAGTCCTGTCCCCTGGAGCTGCTCCCACCCAGGGATTGACAGGCTGGCGCCTTGCCGCTAGCCAGTTCACCCTGCAGGTTCTACACTGGCCAGAGTTCTGGGGCAGGACTGTGCTCCAGGAGCCACGGCGGGATCCCCGATGACAGCCCTTTGTCACTGCCTTCCTCTCCCTGTTTCACCTCCCAAATAAACTTCTGCCACTGCCCTGGCCTATAGCCCCAAGGTGTTTTAAATTTTAGAGTCTCATAGAGAAAGCATTTCAAATAAATACATCGACGGTCTCTCTCTCTCCGGCCCAGGCTGCTGCTCCTGTCCCCATGTCCCCGTCTCAGCGTATGGCGTCTCCACCCACCCAGAAAGCAGAACAGAATCTCCAAAACGAGTCCCCACAAAGCTCTGCATCCACTGCCCCATCTATCTGGTCCCAGCCATTGTCATCTCCCACCTAGTTGACAGGGGCCTGCCACGTCCACTCCACCAGCCTTCATGAAGCCAGACAAGGACCTGATCCCTTCCCTGGCCCCGCCCACCTCCCAGCTCCCAGCTCGTCTCTGCATTTAGCCACCCTGGACTCCCAGGGCCAGGCACTTGCCGGACCAGGCTTTGTCAGCACGGCTCCCCCTGCCGGAAAGCTCCCCTGGCCAAGGGAGCCCACCCTTCAGGTCTCACCTGGCAACGTAGTCCCTGCCCCAGGACTAAGTCTGTTCCCTCCCTTTTTGTTCTCAGGTACCCTCCTGGCATGTGACACAGTCACCATTGTCATTTTACATTATCTGATTATTGGATTAATTGCTCTTAGGCCAACAACCCAACGGAGCCTCCTGGTTCTACAGACCTGGGTGTGAGTCCTGGCTCCAACCTGACTCAGGACAGGTCAGCCTCTGGTGTCTCCATCTCCTCATATCATAATAGGCAAACGATGGCCACTCCATGGGGTGTTGCAAGGATGCAGTGAGGTCATGGTCAAGGGGCCCAGTAGAGAGCTCAGCCCAGACATGCTCAGAGAATGGGAGCCAGCTTCCTTGTTTTACAGCTCAGAGAGGTTAGGTAGTCACTCTGAGGTTGCACAGCTGGTAACTGCTCTGCTTATAAGCTAGCTCTGTGCCCTGTTCTCCAGAGGCCTTTAGAGGGGGCCATAGGTACATGGCTAGGGGTACAGGAAGCTCTGGCCTGGACTTCAGACTTGAGTTGGATGGTCAACTCTGACCATTCCATGGACAGGAAGTAGAGTACAGAATGGTTAAACCATTGGTGAATACAACTGCAAAATAGTAGAGCTAGAAGGGACCACGCTTCCTGGCTTACGGATGGGCAAGCTGAGTCCAACTGCCTTCTGCAGGAGCCTCTGGTCCCAAAGGCTGGTTCTGGCCTCACACCTTCAAAGTCTGCCCTGAGTGTGGCCCAGAAAGGGATGGTGGCTCACCTGCTTCTGCTCCTCTCCCAAACTGTCCCACATGGAGGCCACGATTTTGGACACATCTCCGAAGGTGGCACTGGGGTTCTGCCCCTTGATGGCAGCCTGAGTGTCTCTGAAGAAGAGTGCGTAGGCCGACACGGGCTTCTGGGGCTCATTGGGGTCCTTCTTCTTCTTTTTCTTTGGGTTCTTGGCCTTTTTCCCTGGGTCTGCAGAAGGTCTCTTCTCTCCTGAGATCTGCCCAGGTGACAGGAGTCAGGTTCACACCAGCTGAACCTCCTGCCCGCGGCCGCCCCACCCAGCTCCAGGGGCTGGACCCTGCTCAGCATCCCACCAGGGGCCTGTCCAGCCTGGCTCACACCCGGGGAGCGACAGACAGAAAGAGACACACAGCCTGGGTAGGAGGCTGGGTATTGGTTTAACTCATCAAAGAGAACCAGGACAAGTGGAAAGTCGATTCCGAGAAATCTAGACGCCTCTGTGGTCCCTGCAAAATTGACTGCTGATCCAGGTGACTAAATCGCATGGGAAACTGGCTAGTGCCCTGTAGACTTTTAATTCTGTCTGATGGATTTTTAATCTCTTCTGTTGATCAGAAATCATTTGTGTTCTTTTTATTTTTTATTTTAAGACAGGGTCTTGCTAAGTTCCTTAGCGCCTCGCTAAGTTGCTGAGGCTGGCTTTGAACTTGCGATCCTCCTGCCTCAGCCTCCCGAGCTGCTGGGATTGCCCACTGCACCTGCTTTTCTGTCCCTCCCCCTCCCCCAATTAATGTCTTTCTTTGCAAAATTCCCTCATCAGCAAGGAACAGGAGTCAAAGCAAAGACAAAATTCTGTTGGAGAAGCAGGGGTTCCTGAGTGGCCTGTTAGACCATGTTTGGGTCTGACCCTGTAAGGCTGTGCTGTCTTTGGGGCCATCTCCAGGTTTCAGATGTGTTTTTTCTTAACTGCTCTCCCTCTGCAGCCCCCTCCCGGGTGTGATCACAAACACTCTCCAAAGATTCCCTTGATCCTAAAAGGTCAGTCTCCCCAACCTGTAGCTGCTGTGCAACTCTGGGCCGGTGGCTCTCCCCTGCCCCCCGGGAGGTGGTGGGAAGGGATGAAGCTAATGTGACATCATCAGGCCAGCCTGGAGCTGGGGACCATCCAGAGAGGCTGTAGGATCACAATCCCACTTAGGGTTTCCAGAATGGGGAGAGGGTGGAGATGCTCGCCACAGACCTAAGTGGATCAGTTAGGACCCTCAGGCCACACCGGGACAGGGGCCTTGGGTCCACGGTCCTGGCTCTTGCTGCAAAGTCTGTGACTCAGTGTGTCAAGAAGATGACAGTGACACCATGAGCAGGTAAGGAAACCGGAGGCCAGAGGATGAGACTTGGACCTCCATGTCTGAAGGTCAAGGGGGGAAGAAACAGAAGACCGCTTCTGTCCTGGAGTCCCCTCTGCAGCCACCCACCACGCCAAGCCTCCGTCCTTCAGCACTACGTGGAGAGGTCCTTATGAGGAAGCAAGGCACAGGGCCATGGAGGCAGGGTCACGGGCCACTCTTCATTCTGTCGCTGGCTCATGGGAGAGACTGGATACAAACTCCTGCCTCTGACCTTTCTGGGCCTCTGTGCCCAGCAAAAAAAGAAGCTCTCTAACCAGGAGGAGGCTTGGGGTCCCTGCAAAGGACCAGGGTGTGGGCAGGTGGCGGCTCCCATCCCTGATATTTTGAAGAGGCCCACAACCTATGGACTTGAGGGGTGCTGGGAGAGGGTGCACCCCCACCATGGGACCACCGATTTCATGCCCCATCCCCAGTCACTGTGGAATGCCCTAGGCCCAGAGGACCTCTGTTGGACGACACATTTTTGTCAGAATAAGTTTTTAAAATGAGGGCTAGGTTAATTAGCTTGATTCAATCATTCCAAGTCACATATTCACACGACTGTGCACCCCATAAAAATATACGATTAATATTTCTCCAAATATCTAAAGGTTTTTGGGAACAATATTTAACAAAAAGTTCCCTCAAAGGCCAAAGTGGCGTGAGCCCAGGCCCTGAGGCTCTTGCTGATGTCATCGATGCCACGGAAAAGACGCGCTGGCCATCGGGAATGAGACTTGGCCCTGTTTCCACGACATCTCCTCCCGCCATCCTTCAACATGGTTAGAGGGGGTCTCTGCTGCGTGAGTGAGGGCTGGGATTGAGGCTGAGCTTGCCAACAGTGCCTGGGAGATCTAGCACCTGAAGCCTGGTGTCCCGAGGTCCCCTGGGTGCTCCCCAATGGCTAACTGCTCCTGCCCACCTGACCCATCTGCTGATCTCTTCCTCCTTGGTCTCCAGCAAAGGGCACGGCCCCCCTCCCAGTCTTTTCCAGAGTGAAGTCCCCACAGATGGGAGAGCATCTGACAGCATTGCTGTCCACCCCGCCTACCTTGAAATGTGCTTCAGACTCCTCCTCCTGCGTGGAGCTGGAGGGAGAGGGGGTCGCCGACTTGCTCCCTGGGGGTGACGGGGAGCTGTGGGTGATGCTGCTCCGGATGCCCATCTGGGAGATGAGCTGGGACTGGCTGAGGGCGCTCATGTGGCTGGCCAGCATCGCGGGGCGACCCAGCAGAGGTCCTGGCCGGCTGGAGTCATAGGCAGCGACCTCCGAGTGCACCATCTCCTGGATCTAAGAAGGACAGGGCATCTGTGTTAGAAGGAGCTGGCCTGCGACACCCTCACATCTGCCCTGCAGGACTCGGAGGGCATTCAGATGAGATGGTGGGGGTCCCGGCTCTGTGCGGAGGGGGAGTTCCGTTCTGCTTGGACCTCTGCATGATTTGGAGCACGTGTGCGGGAACGAGGGCTCCCTGGCGGCTGGCCATTTTGTTGACATTCACCCTGGACAGACAGCACTCGAGCCCTTGCCAGAGAGTTCCGCCCAGCTGTGAATGATCATTTTACGGTATCGATCTTCCCTCCTGGAATGCATCTCTGCATCAATTCACTGTGCAACATAAGAGCAAGGAGTGCCAATGTTGGATGCCATTGTATCAGCCTGGCCCTAGCCCTGACCAACAGTTAAGTGACTTTGACCGACTAACTTAACCTCTCTGTGCCTCAGTTGTTTTCAACCGTACAATGTAGATAAAATCAAACTTACCTTCTCAGGTGGTTAAGGATCAAATATGTCTGGCATGTCATAAGCCCTGGGTTACAGAAGCATTTGTTCAATTCTTTGAATTAATAAACCTCGTGATAATGTTTAGCACTTTTCTTCCTTTAGCTCATTTTCCTATTAGCTTCATTTCTC